ATCAATGAAATTGAAACAAAGAAAACAATACAAAGAATCAACAATTCCAAGAGCTGGTTCTTTGAAAAGATAAACAAGATTGACAGACCGCTAGCCCAGTTAACCAAAAAAAAGAAAGAGCACCTCTAAATCGATAAAATCAGAGATGAAAGGGAAACATCACAACAGACACCAGATAGATACAGAACATTATAAGGGAATACTTAAAAAACCTATATGCTACTAAACTTGAAAACCTAAAAGAAATGGATGGATATCTAAAGGCATGGGAACCACCAAAACTAAACCAAGAAGACATTAACAGCTTAAACAGACCCATATCACAAAAAGAAATTGAAACAGTAATACAAAACTTCCCGACTAAATAAAGTCCAGGACCAGATGGATTTACAGCAGAACTCTATCAGACATTTAAAGAAGATCTGCATCCAATACTACTTAATTTATTCAAAAAAATAGAAACGGAGGGAGAACTTACAAATTCCTTCTATGAAGCCAGCATCACTCTAATACCAAAGCCAGGTAAAGATACAACCAAAAAAGAAAACTATAGACCCATAACCTTAATGAACACAGATGCAAAAATTCTTCACAAGATACTTGCAAACCACATACAGACACACATCAAAAGGATCATCCACCATGATCAGTAGACTATCTGTTGGGGAACCCTGCTATTAGGGTCACAGTCTCTCCATGTCCGCATAGCCGCAAGCTGGCTCGGCGCTTGATGGAAAGACTCCCCTTTTTAGCAGGGCACCTCCTCCTTTCTTCCTGGCTGACTTTGAAGTGGCTGCCACAGATGTCTTACCTGAAACATGACCTCTGGAATAGAAACCACCCAGTTTTTGCTATATGGTAATCAGGCATTGTCTGACAGCCTGATTGATAGAAGCCCACCGCCATATGTAAATAAAGCATACTACAGAGCACCTATCAGCTGAGGCTTTTGCTACTGCCTCCACACTATAAATCTTTTAGTTTTCACCCTAATAAACCGGAGCTGTATCACTGAGTCTGACTGAGCTGTATCACTGTGTCTGGAGCTGAGTTGTGTTTCACTGCACCTGGGATCAGCCTGTGAGCAGTCTTCCTGGAAGAAGCTATCCTTCCATCAACACTCACTCAGTAAAGTGGCAGGTTACAAAATTAACCTACAAAAGTCTGTAGCCTTTCTATATACCAATAACAAGCAATCAGAGAAAGAGCACATGGAAACACTCCCGTTCGCAATAGTTGCAAAAAAAAAAAAAATTTATCTTGGAGTAAACCTGACCAAAGACATTAAAGAGCTCTACAATGCAATAAATCTTTAAAGAGAGAAATTGAGGAAGACATCAGAAGATGGAAGGACCTCGCATGCTCATGGATTGGAAGAATTAATATTGTGAAAATGACCATCCTACCAAAAGTCATATATAGATTCAACGCAATGCCAATCAAAATCCCCATGACATTTTTCACAGAATTGGAAAAAACTATCCTAAGATTCACATGGAAGCACAAAAGATCTCAGATAGCCAAAACAACCCTGAGCACTAAGAGCAATGCCAGGGGGGGATTACTACACCAGATTTCAAGCTGCATTACAGAGCCATAGTCATAAAAACAACATGGAACTGGCACAAAACTAGACTCATAGACCAATGGAACAAAATTGAAGACCCAAATATGATTAAATGCAATTTCAGCCACCTGATATTTGACAAAGGGGCCAAGAACTTTAACTGGAGGAAAGACAGCATGTTCAGCAAATGCTTCTGGCAAAACTGGATCCCCACTTGTAGAAGAATGTAACTATTTTTCAACCTTCACAAAAGTCAATTCCGAATGGCTCAAAGATCTCAATGTAAAGCCTGAAACTCTGAAACTATTAGAAGAAAACATTGGGAAAAACCTACAAGATACAGCTGTAGGAAAGGATTTTCGGATATCAAGTGCTCAGGACACAAGGACAAGAATTAACAAATGGGACCTCATTAAACTAAAAAGCTTCTGTACATCAAAGGAGACAACCAAGGAAGCAAACAGAAAACCCACAGACTCTTTACCAGCTACACATCTGACAGAGGTTTAATATCCAGAATATATAAAGAACTCAAAAAACAAAGCAAGAAAACAAATGACCCAGTTAAAAGATGGGCTAAAGATCTAAACAGAGAGTTCTCAAAGGAAGAAATAAAGATGGCCAAGAAACATCTTAAAAGGTGTTCAACATCATTAGTATTTAGGGAAATGCAAATTAAAAACACTATAAGATTTCATCTTACCCCAGTCAGTCTGGCTAAGATCAAGAGAACAAATTACACCAAATGTTAGAGAAGATGTGGGCAAAGGGGAATGCTTATCCACTGCTGGTGGGATTGCAAACTTGTTCAACCCCTATGGAAATCAGTGTGGAGAACACTTAAAAAACTAAAACTGAACTTACCATTTGACCCAGTTATATCACTCCTTCGCACATACCCAAAGATGTCTTCCTATTGCAGGGACACTTGTACATCCAGGTTTGTTACTGCTCTTTTCACATTAGCAAAAGAGATGGAAGAAACCTAATGTCCCTCAACTAATGAGTGGATAATGAAAATGTGGTTCATTTTTAAGATGTAGTTCTACACAGCAGTAAAGAAAGATGAAATCATGAAATTTGCATGTAAATGCATGGAACTAGAAGGTATTATACTAAGTGAAGTAACATACTCAGAAAAACAAATGAAATATATTCTCCCTGATATGTGGATCCTGGCACCAAATCCTACATAACTACAGAAACCAGGACAATGGAAAGGAAACAGGGCGGTAAAGGAAAAGAAGTAACCTGAAAGAGAAAAACAGTAGGAAACAGGCCTTAATAAGGGAGATATGGATAAAAATTGGGTTAGTTTAAGGGAGGGAGGAGGGAAGGGTTTACAAGGAACCTAGGGCATAAAGGAAAGAAGGAGCTCAAGAGAGGTAGGACCACAGGAGAAGGGTATTATTACAGGAGAAAGGGGGGCAATGGGGGTTCCTTAAGTGGGAAAACCATGATGGAGGGGTGAGACAATGTGAGAGATAAACAATGCCT